GGGGGGGGAGGAGGGGGGTAGAGTCTGTTTACAATGATTTACTATGGAGTCCGTTTAAATACCACATTACATGGAAGTGACTTTCATTCTTATTTGACAATCCTAACCTCATTAAATGGACACATCCTGATATTAAAAAAAAAAAATGGAAAATCGACAACCCTATATTTTTTTATAATTTTTCCTTAACTGCCATTGGGTTTTGGACGGATGCAGACAGTCAAGAGAAGAGTATTTGCAAATCCCATCACGAAACAACAGTGTGTGTGGCCAAGGTGAGAGGCGTGTTCAGACGTGGCAAATTGTGCGGTGAAGATTTGGTAAACACCACCGACACTAGCCACGGAACTGCAGAATGCTCAGGAAAAAAAATAGTTTGGTGATTGACCATAGGCAACATTGATCACCACTGATAGAAAATAATCGGTAACATTTTGAATTATTTCCTCCAAATAGGAGTGGACAAAGTTAAATCCACATTATTCTTAAAATATCAAAATACAACATCGATTCCTTACCACCAGCTGAGTGAGCAATCCAGATAATTGGTCGTCGACCAACTCCGGCCATGAGCAGTTGTTGAAGGATATCTCTCGCTCTTTGGTCTATTCGACGCCTAAAAACAGCAAAGGAATTGAGGTAAATAGAAAGCAAATAAGCACACGCCTTAGATGACACATCGATGCTCTATTTAGGAAGGAAGAGGAGGAGAGTAAGATGCATTTTCTCTTTCAAATTTCAAAGACCCACAACAAGCGCACATTTTCATACCAGCCAATCACAAGAGGAAGAGAGCAACCTCGTAAAGAGTCTCTCAATCGAGGCTTCTCGTAAAATCGAAGAGTTCATAAAAACCCGGTGGAAATTAAAGCAAATTTTGAGTGATTTTATTCCTTCACATGGAAATGAAACAATCACTTGGAGTTATTAAAAAATCGTGATATTAGTAATCAAACTGGAAAAAAAATATATGAGAAAATTCACTCAAGAAAATCTAATTGATATAAACCGCCACACAACTCCCTCAAATGGTATTTTTTTAAATATAGTCCTTACATTTATTCACAAATGCTGGGTAGCCCTTAGCGTCAAATTTTAAAAGCCTACGTATCGCCTACGATTTTTAGAATCGAATGTATAAGCAACGCATACGAATGCACGAGTTTGGCAAGAATTTTCTAGAAACCCGGGTAGATCCGAGTTGAGGCAATATTGGAAACTGACAAAGCAAAAATGAACCCCCGCCAAGGATAAAGCAAACGTGTTAAAAACGAAAATTACCATACATTGCAAGTGCATACGGCACGCTAATCATAGCATAGTAAGTAGTGAAGAAAATGTTATAAATTCTAAATGAAAAATAACTAGCCAAGCATCCTCCCCCCCCCCCCCCCTCCTCCTCCCTACACTAAGTGAATAATTTCCCGCTTTGAAAATTGGTCTGTTGCATTATTCGCTTAAAAAACCGGCACCAAAGACATCAAAAGCATTGGTATAGCTATTTCACATAGATTACGTGCGCGCGTGTGTGTGTGTGTGTTGAAAATGACTAGGCCCCCACTATTAGCCACTTGAACTTTTAGTCAGGTAGAATTCCAGGAAAAAGGAAGGAATTACTGACATCTTTCGGTAGATGGTTTGCTGCAAGCTTCGTAAATATACATGGCCTAACTTGGGAGGGGGGGGAGTCGTATAATAAAAAGGGAATATGAAAGACCGTATAGAAACAGCACCACAAAACGAATGAGGTTGCTGCGGGATACACAGCGTAGCCAGGGTTGACGAAGAAATTTTATGAGTTCGCGACCAGGCTGGAAGGTGTTTCTGATCGCGAAGAGAGCAAGTACGGTCTCTCTCAATAGTCAAATGCGTGACTAGAGTAGGCAAACTTGCATTTTAGTGACTAAACTAAGTCAGTGGAAGGTAAGCTGCAATAACAGTGAGGTACTTTAAGCAGTTTTTTGATAGTGAAAATTTCAGAAAAGAACGTTGAGGTCCAGGCATGATCTATTTATGCAGCATCCTTTACTCAAGGACAGAATGCATAATGACATATTAACAAATTAAATTATAGTCAAGTTTGGATTTCACTTTTAACACAGGAATAAGACGACCCACGGACGCTAAATATTGCACTAGCAATAGTCGGGCCATTTACAGAAAAAGGTATTAAAACAAAGAATAATGTAAGAATATACGTAAACTAACTTAGTCTTTTCACCAGGGCAAATAGGATTCCAGATGAAAGGCTTAAGGTTAACATTGATTCCGATAATTCGTGCGTTGGGAAACTCCTCGCTTAGCCAAGTCTGAAATGGAAAATGATGAGCTTCATTACCACGCAGACCAGCGATTACGAAATATAAGCATCTACTTAAACAAAATAAGTAACAACCAAATATAATACAATAGTTTGGCAGCACGTGAAAATCGATAAAATTGCTTTAAGCCTGCTTTGTCTAAATGTCAATGACAAGCATCCATTTACTTATAGACCTAGTACATATTATGCCAATCAGAAAGGTCAACGCATAATATTGAAGCTTGAGAATTCTGGAATTAATCAGTTCAGAAAAACTTCTTTGGTAGTCATCATTGGAATTTTGAAATGCTATCTGCGTACACTTTCAAATGAAAGTTACAGGTTTTGCAATTATTGATCATGTCAAATAACACCATAATTCCACCCCCCCCCCCCCCCCAGAGAATATCAAACTAAACTGGCATTTTCCTCCTTGCTGCCATTGAAGTCTTATTAAGCCGTGACGTATTTTAATATCATATTTTTATGCTAACAACTAAGAACGTGTCAATACCGTTTTCATAAAATTCTTTAATCTCTGCATAAATTTGTAGATTGCATTTATGGCAATTCACTTTAAAAATAAAGCAGATTACTTGTTTAAAAGAAGGTCATTAGGGGCCATGCACAAAATAAAATGCAATGTAAACATTTTGAGAAAAATAAACTTGTTTCCATTAGTAATGTAAATATGAACCAAAAAGAGATCTTTTTTTTCATTTAATCTCATCTGACCAGGGTTCCCTATTGAAAATTTTCAAAGTTACATAAAGCGAAGACAAGAGTTGTTTTTTCTTAATTAAGTCAAATTATGCCGTACATTACGAAAACTTTCTGATAGCATTATTAAACACCGTCACATGTACAGATTTTTTAAAAGATCATGAGGAAGAAGACCCACTGATATGGAGGCGAAGCAGTGCTTCGCCGTGCACGGGATGTGCAATATCGATTCCAGGTCATAATTATGGCAGGTGACAGAATGGTGATGGTCTGACCAATCTGCAACTCAAGTAATGGAACTGATCGATTAATAAATCTTCTCTGACCAAGGAAAAAAAGTGACCAAGCGTTGTTACTTCACACAAACCAGTCCCAAGTTAATGAGTGAATGTACCCTGGTTTGACTGGTGGTTAAAATCGCGCGAGGGTTCCGTCTTCATCTTTCGAATTTTCTGGTGCCATTTATCATAACAACGCGGCCAGACACCATAGGTTATAGCAAAATAAGATGAACAGAAGAATGAAATAGAAGAAAAAAGATCAATTTCAGTTCTGTTTAGGGGCCAAAGCATTAACAAAATGAAAGATTATATTTGAGTTAAAAGTTGAAGCGAAGGAGTCGATAGCCCTCCAAAAAAAGACAAATGCATTTTTGATTGACGTCTACTGAAATTAGTGGCAGCAACAAAACAGGATGGGTACCATAGTGATCCCCTTGGGCGAGTTTTACTAACTACGATGACATAATAAAAAAATCTTTTGTTTTTTTTGAGAAGGAGGGAGATTAGGTGGGGGGTGGGGTGGAGTGGAGTGGAGAAATTGTCAAATGCGATTTGCAGAATATACCTACAATCCACTCAAAGTATTCCCATTATGAGTAATAACTTAGGAAACATGAAGTGAATTATTTAGGAAGAATTGAATAGGCCCAGCATTCCTGGTTTATAATAAATTATCAAGAGTAAAAAAATGCTCTCACTACAACTCAGAGTACATGAACATTGCTCTCACTTTTATTTTATAGTGAACAATTTTTAGGAGCACAAGCAAGAATTACCTCCCCGATGCAGCAATTTTGCATTTCCTTTCCATCTTCGTCAAGGCCAAAAAGTGGAAGGCAAAATTATGGGGGGAATAAATTCCACGCAAGGGGAACTGGATGCAATTTCCGTAAAGAATAAATAATTACTGTCATCTGCCAATATGTCTCACAGTTTACACACTCAAGATGAGGTTATTTAGGACAGTCTTCGAATATCTTCTGGAAATAAATTGAATTGGGAGTTTTACACAACATACTTGAGGCCAGCAACTGACTTGTCCCGGGAAGGCAGCAGGAAGTCGAAGACTACTTGTGTTCGGGTCTTCTATGTTCTCCTGCACACCATTCTCACCACCATTGGTGAAAGAGAGGTCACTTTGTCGCCAGGTGTGGAAGACACTTCCCAGCATTCCGTTAAGGAAGATCACGTCGATTTCGGGGGGAGGAGAATCTGGTCGGTCACTGGATAGAAGAGAAGAGGAAATATAAAAACGGAGAAGGAGAAGGCCAAAATGAATGTGGGTTACCAATCGCGACGTACTAATAAACAATAACTATTTGGCTACCAACACCCACCATAAAATTCTAGTCAAAATTTATTGATTGCCTCGTTAAAATTGAGGCCACTGAAAGGGATCATAAAAAAGAGTTTAGAAGAAAAAACATTTATGTACCATGGAGTTAAGCAGGATTTTGACAATAGAACAAAACGATCGGTTACCGAGGAGATAAATACAATGGCCATTGGAAAAATTTATTAGAGGAAAAGCTATGACAAAGAGCAATTCCAGTGCTCTACTTTTGGGTATCACCAACTCGGTGCCTATACCTTTGAAGAGCATAGAAGTGTGGATGACTAGTACCTCTTGATTTAACTATCATTTTATGAAGGAGCTTCGATTGATACTCAAGTGGCCAGATCTCATTTTATGAAGCAGATTTATATACTTTATGAGTCATTTTATGCTGAATTACGACATAAATAATCTGTGGGAAATAAAGTGGCGCTTTCCTTCGTATTATTTTTAAATTCGGACCTATTTCAAGCTAAATGCCCAATTTAGTGAACTTAGGTAATTAACCCCACAATTTTATACTCTTATCATTTCCCCCCAATCACCACGAGACTGGGAGTTGGCTATTTTGCCTCGGAGATATCGTCAAGCACTTGATACATCAATCCTGCCTTATCTCAAAGGCAAATTTGTTACTCCCAAATGCACATCGTGGTGAAATACAACTTAGAGAAAACTTGAGAAGCGTGCCGCACGTAAGAGACTTTTAACTATACACGCAACTAAATCAACTGTCAATGGACGTGAAGGAGCCATTTCTTCGACAAAAAAATGCTCTCTATGCACTTTGCATTTCAAGAAGCATAATGGCAATTTAATTATTTATAAGTGGGGTGTGCGATAGACTTACCTCCACGTGGTGCACACTGGGCAACGTATACCCATATGGCAAAAAAGTCTATCAATGGGCAGTTGACTTCTGACTTCAAACTACCATCACCCCCAACTGTATGTCATATTCGACCCCTTCTACAGTACTCATCTAGCCTTTTCTCTGCCTTTGTGTCTGTCTGTCTGTCTGTTACATCTGTGAATCGCTCTTCTTTCCCCCTGTCGAATTTTTCTCACTTAAATGTTCCTCCCTTCTGTGAAGCCCGAAGTCAACTAAAGGGCTAATGATAACTATCAAAATGCCTGCCATTTGAAATAAATAAATTATTTATAAGTAAAAAACTAATGGCGATATTTGTGACACTTTCAATTGAACAAACTTTCTATCGCAATAAAAGTTGGGAAGAAAACAAGATTTCGTTTCTGCTAATATGGTCAGAATTAACTTGGAAGGCGATTAACAATGTTGTACAGAGCTTACGATATCTCTTCCACAAATCTCCACCCAATTGTGTGTAGCTTGAAGCGGCCCCATTTCCTACCCGCGTCTGTCGTCTCTCTTGGCTTGTTTAAGGTACATGGCTCGTGAATCTTTTCCACCTACCTAACTCTGCCTTGCGCCTATATCC